TTTATTGGCTTTGTGACAGCTTGTCATGGAAGTTAGGTTTTCAAATTGCTTCTTCTTTAATGGCCTCAGGTGAATTGTATTTTATTGCAATCTGAATCAAAATCCTTCTAGGATTCAATTTTATTATACATTCTAATCATTCAGTTAGCAAATATTATGTCACACCAACACTCAGTGCCATTTTTATGTGCTGGACCTCAAGTTGCAGGGATCTTTTGACTGCTTTGATTTTACATTTCCCCTAAGCAATCCTCCATATCTTCATAAAGATTCTCTCAGCAACTATCTTGCCAAAATATTCAGCCCCAAGTCAGAAACTCTCTCATTGGCCAATTGGCTGACGTACTATTTTGAAAGACCAATTTAACCTCAATTCCCCCTGCTTATTTAAAAACAAACAAAATATGGGGCCATCTGGTATCGTTAATTGGTCCTCTTTTGGTATAGAAAATAAATAGGAAATATTTCTCACCAGGTATCTTTCAGCTGTAGTTCCTACTGCAATTGACAAGGCCCCTGAAACAATAAACTAGTAACAAAAAGAAAAATGAAGGTAAAATTTTAGGCAAATATTTGAAGTTATAATTTACCAAACCTTACTCCTAAATTAGATAGAAATGTTAAATCGACCTATTATCTTAGAAGAAAAACAAAACTTTGTAAATAATCCCCACCTCCTCAAGAAAGAACAGAGAAATTCTACCAGAGTCATTTATAGGGAAATTTATCAAGCCATTCAAACAATAGTTAATAGCAATGGTATTGAAACAGTTCCAGAGCGTTAAAATATAAAGAAATCTTCCAAATTCCTGATATGAATTAACACTAATATTGGCACCAAATTTGAACAATACATTACAAAAAGAAAAAAAAAAGGAAACTAAGACTAATCTCTTTTAAAATATCTATTAAAATTTGTAAATAAAAGAGTAGCAAAGAAAATTTCAAATTCCTTATTAGATGATTAGAATTTACTAGCTAATTTGACAGTAACAATTGTGTAATTATTTTCCTTTCGGCAAAAATTGTTAGAATCAAGTCAACAGGCTCCTTGCCTTAGACCATTCAACTGTCTGTCTTTTGAGTTTTGGTTTGATACTTTGATTTCAAAAGTTTCAAAAAATCGTATTTTAGTACCAAAAAATTTACAAATCTAATGACATCAAGACATTCATTGTTGTTAGGTGCTGTCGAGTCGGTTTCGACTCATAGAGACCCTATATATAGCAGAAGGAAACACTGCCCAGTCCTGTGCTATCCTCACAATCGTTATTAAGCTTAAGCCTATTGTTGCAGCCACTGTGTCAATCCATTTTGTTGAGAGTCTTCCTCTTTTTTGCTGAACCCCTACTCTATCAAGCATGATGTCCTTCTCCAGGGACTGATCCCTTCTGGTAACATGTCTAAAGTATGTGAGACTTAGTGTAGCCATTCTTGCTTTTAAGGAGCATTCTGGTTGTACTTCTTCCAAGACAGATTTGTTTGTTCTTTTGGCAGTCCATGGTATATTTAGTATTCTTTATCAGTACCACAATTCAAAGGCATCAATTCTTCCTCAGTCTTCCTTATTCACTGTCTAGCTTCCACATGCATATGAGACAATTGAAAACATCATGGCTTGGTCAGGTGCACCTTACTCTTCAAGGTGACATCTTTACTTTTCAACACTTTAAGATGTCTTTTGCAGCAGATTTGCCCAATGCAATGTGTGTTTTGATATCTTGACTGCTGCTTCCATGGGTGTTGACTGTCAATCCAAGTAGAATGAAATCCTTGACAACTTCAGTCTTTTCTACATTTATCATGATGTTGTTCATTGGTCCAGTTGTGAGGATTTTTGCTTTCTTTATGTTGAAGGGTGATGCATACTAAAGGCTGTGGTCTTTGATCTTCATCAATAAGTGCTTCAAGTCCTCTTCACTTTCAGTAAGCAAGGTTGTGTCATCTGCATAACACGGGTTGTTAATGAGTCTTCCTTCAATCCTGATGCTGAGTTCTTCATATAGTCCAGCTTCTCAGATTATTTGCTCAGCATATAGGTTGAATAAGTATGGTGAAAGGATACAACCCTGACACACACCTTTCCTGACTTTAAACCATGCCAGTATCCCCTTGTTCTGTTTGAACGACTGCCTCTTGATCTATGCACAGATTCCTCATGAGCACAATGACGTGTTCTGGAATTCCCATTCTTCGAAATGTTATCCATAATTTGTTATGATCCACAGAGTCGAATGCTTTTGCATAGTCAATAAAACATAGGTAAGCATCTTTCTGGTATTCTCTGCTTTCAGCCAGGATCCATCTGACATTGGCAGTGATATCCCTCCTTCTACGTCCTCTTCTGAATCAGGCTTGAATTTCTGGTAGTTTTCTGTAGATATACTGCTGCAGCTGCTTTTGAATGATCTTCAGAAAAATTTTACTTGGGTGTGATATTAATAATATTGTTCTATAATTTCCATATTCTGTTGCATCACCTTTCTTTGGAATGGGCACAAATATACATCTCTTCCAGTTGTGTGGCCAGGTAGCCGTCTTCCAAATATCTTGGCACAGACAGGTGAGTACTTTCAGCGCTGCATCCATTTGTTGAAACTTTTAAATTGGTATTCTATCAATTCCTGGAGCCTTGTTTTCCACCAATGCCTTCAGTGCAGCTTGACCTTTTCCTTCAGTACTGTTGGTTCCTGATCATATGCTATCTCCTGAAATAGTTGAATGTCGACCAGTTCTTTTTGGTTTAGTGACTCTGTGTATTCCTTCCATCTTCTTTTGATGCTTCCTGCATCCTTTAATATTTTCCCTGTAGAACTTTTCAGTATTACAACTCGAGGCTTGAATTTTTAATTCAGTTCTTTCAGATTGAGAAATGCCAAGCGTGTTCTTCCCTTTTGGTTTTCTATCTCCAGGTCTTTGCATGTATTATTATAATACTTTGTCTTCTCAAGCTGCCCTTTGAAATCTTCTGATGAGCTCTTTTACTTCATCATTTCTTCCCTTTACTTTAGCTACTTGATGTCCAACAGCAAGTTTCAGAGTCTCTTGTGTTATAGATTTTGATATTTTCTTCCTTTCCTGTCTTTTTAATGACTTCTTGCTTTCTTCATTTATGAATGTCCTTGATGTCATTCCACAACTCGTCTGGTCTTCAGTCATTAGTGTTAAATGTGTCAAATCTATTCTTGAGATGGTCTCTAAATTCAGGTGGGATATACTCAAGGTCATACTTTAGCTCTTGTGGACTGTTGTAATTTTCTTCAGTTTCATCCTGAACTTGCATACGAGCAATTGATTGTTTCTTCTGTATTCGGCCCCTGGCTTTATTCTGAGTAATGATGTTGAGCTCTTCCACCATCTGTTTCCACAGGTGTACTCGATTTGATTCCTATGTATACCATCTGATGAGGTCCATGTCTATAGTCGCCATTTATGTTGTTGAAAAAAGGTATCTGCAATGAAAAAGCTGTTGTTCTTGCAAAATTTTATCATGCAATTTCTGGCTTCATTTCTATCACCAAAGCCATATTTTCCAGCTACTCTGTCTTCTTTGTTTCCAACTTTCACATTCCAATCACCAGTAATTATCACTACAATGTGGTTGGTGAGTGAATTTGAAAAATAGTTCCTTGGAGACCTATGGATAGTATCCTATCACTGACAGGATTATACTTCAGGATAGATCTTGAAATGTTCTTTTTGATGATGAATGTGATGGCATTCCTCTTGAATTTGTCATTCCTGGCATTGGAGATCATATGACTGTCTGATTTGCAATGGCCGATACCAGTCCATTTCAGCTCACTAATACCTAGGATATCAGTCTTTATGTGTTCCATTTCACTTTTGATGATGTCTTAGGCATGTAGTGCTGCTGTAACAGAAATACAACAAATGGATGGATTTAACAAAGAGAAGTTTATTCTCTCACAATCTAGTAGGTTACAAGTACAAATTCAGGGCGTCATCTCCTAGGGAAGGCTTTCTCTCTCTGTCAGCTCTGGAGGAAGGTCCTTGTCATCAGTCTTGCCTTGGTATGGGAGCATCTCAGCACAGGAACCTCAGGTCCAAAGGACGCGCTTGCTTCCAGCACTGCTTTCTTGGTAGTGTGAGGTCCCCATGTCTCTCTGCTGGCTTCTCTCTTTTATATCTCAAAAGAAATTGGCTTAAGATGCTATCTAATCTTATAGACCTCATCAGTATAACTGACTCTAATCCATCTTATTACATCATAGTGATAGGATTCAAAACACATAGGAAAATCACATCAGATGACAAAATGGAACACAATCATACAATACTGGGAATTATGACCTAGCCAAGTTGACAGGTATTTTTTGGGGACATAATTCAATCTATGACAGACAACGTCCAATTTTCCTAGATTTATACTTCGTACATTCCATGTTCCAATTATTAATGAAAGTTCACAGCTGTTTCTTCTCATTTTGAGTTGTGCCACATCAGCAAATGAAGGTCCCAAAAGCTCGATTCCATTCATATCATTAAGGCGGACTCTACTTTGAGGAGGCAGCCCTTCCCCAGTCGTATTCTGAGTGCCTTCCAACCTGAGGTGCTCATTTCCTGGCTCAGTATCAGACAGTATCTGCTGCTATTCATAAGGTTTTAATTGGCCAATTTTTTTTTTTTTAAATAAATAGGCAGTCAGGTGCTTCTTCCTAGTTTGTCTTAGTCTGAAAACTCAGCTGAAACCTGTCCACCTTGGGTGACACTGTTTGTATTTGAAATACTAGTGGCATAGCTTCAAGTATGACAGCATCAACAGGCCACCACAGTATGACAAAATGACAAACAGTGGTGGACCTGAATCATAGTAAGAATGTAATGATAGCTATTATTGGCATTGGAGCTCTGGTGGAGCAGTGGTTGAGCATTTGGCTCTAACCAAAAGGTTGGCATTTCAAGGCTACTAGTTTCTCCTTGGAAATCCTATGGGGTAGTTCCACTCTGTCCTATAGGGTTGCTTTTAGTCAAAATCAACTCAAAGTCAGTGGGTTTGGTTTTAGGTTTTGGTATTGTTGGCATTAATATTATTAGATATATAAAGTATTCCAGACATAGGACAGCGTTTGTTATACTTCAGACTTTGAACTTCTGCTGTAAATAGGTGAAGGGGAGCATAAAGCCTACTCTAAACTATCTCTTCTTAACTTTGTAGAGGTAAATAAATGGAAGCCCCTGAATGCCTGAATCAGTTCCTTGATGGGAGGGGTGGGGGAGCATACTAAATAGGCAATAGATAAGTGGTATCTTTGGTGAAGGGTAAGACAGTACACAATACCAGCACAACTTGTACAAGGAAAGGTCATGGAAGCTCCATAGACACATCCAAACTCCCTGAAGGACTGAATTGCTGGGTGGAGGGCTGTGGGGAACATGGTCTCAGGGAACATCTAGCTCAATTGGCATAACACAGTTTATAAAGACAATGTTCTACATTCTACCTTGGTGAGTAGTGTCT